TTAATATATATATATATTTTTTTTTATAATAATAATAAAAGCTGTTTTACCTACCAATATTTATTTTTTAATCTGTATTTAGCAGTTTGGCCGATTGGCTAGAGTTCAGCTTTGAAAAAAACCACACTTTTACCAACCTCAGCAAGCATTTTGTACAAGTGTATTTAGTAAAACATTGCAAACATAATGATGAATAGAAGTACAATAACATACAGCAACAAATGTCACCTTTTACTGGTTTACAGAACTCACGTTTGTGAAAAATGATTGCCGAATTGTTGTTGGCAACTGTACTCGACACATTGCACTAAATAAATAAGCACACTTGATGTATATGCCAAAATTATATCAGAAAATTTGAAAGGTCATGTAGTATTTTCAAGCACTAAGTTCAAGATACACTATCCAATTCCATGTGGCACTAACCCCAGCCATGAATCAAAAGGACAGTTATGATCTTTAGAGAGGACAGGAATATTTTGGGCCAATTCTCTTATGTTGATGTAAAAATAGTACTAGGATTTATAGGTTAGCTGTTTATTTATTTGTGGTATGGATGGCATCATACTGTTACCAACCTAAATGACATTCCAGATCGTGGCTCCACATTTATGGATGTTTGTGAACAGCTGTCGTGGAATTTAAACAGAACAGTTGCCAACTTTCACAGATATATCTATGAGCGAATATTAATATGACACTGGAAGAAGCATGAATCCGAGCACCACAATGTGGCCTGCAACGTGATACATCCATGCTATACTGCAGTTTTTTAGGCATGCTTTATTATTGCAGCTATTATCCCTCATTCAAAATACATTAATATCTGTTGTCATATTCAGTACTACATGTTACATATTTTAGCAATGACAATTCACTATTCCATAAAAGGCCAGTCCCTAAACTGCAAAGCATGTATGGCCTCAAAACTGGAAGTGTCTGAATAGAGATTTTGTTGCCTGGTGCACCAAATGAGGTTCTCCCTTTCATTTTCTAACGTGCCTAGAATTACGAAAGGGACAAGTCAAATGGCACTTATGGATAACAAAGGCAGCATTAAGCTGGCCATATACCATTCTATTTTTTCCCCCGAAGAAAATAGAACAGATTGCTTTATTCCCCAGCTGTTTCCCTTGTATTTTGACGGTGGCCACCAGCTGCTGTCAGAATACACAAACGGTGCTTGCAACTGATTGGCTGCAAGCACAATTCATTTGAAGATTTTCCATCTGTCTCTTTCGATCTTTTGCTTCAGGGATGCCGGCCAGAAAGGTGCAGACAGCAGTACTCACTGTGCATAGTGTATGGTCACCTTTAGTTTCACACATTTGCAACTATGATGCCAATTGCATATATTATTAACATTATTTGTTTAAGTATCAAAGTGTTATAATTTCCAAACAAGTACCAATCAGATGTACAGCTTGATCTAAAATATGACATATTAAGTCTAAAGTTTGAATCTAACCGGTTAGAGTAATACCATGGTGGGAATATTGCATTCTCACATGAGCCATGTCATTACTAAAACCAATATCATTTCTAATACACTAAACTAAACGTTTAGAACACATTTGGTGAGTGATTTGATGGCTGTGATAAGAAGAAAAAAAACACTTAAAAGGGCTGATAAAGACACAAATCTGCATTTTTTTAAACATACCATGTTCATGACAGTAAGAATGAATCTCTGTGCTGCATCTGCTCCATGATATTGGACCATATCAGAGTCTGCCACCACCAGCGTCTCCACAGTATGTTCCTCAGTAAGCCTGATGGCATTCCTCCGCTCCCGCCAGTCACTGCCTTCCTCCCTCTTGCTTGACTTCTTTTTTTTCCCTAGAAGTGGAAAAAGGAAGATTAGGTCTTGCAGAGCTATAAAAGTATGGCAGATTATCCAGTGATAGGCAACCAGTAAGAAGAACAGAATGGGAAAGGAGTATGGTCATATATCTGCAATGCACCCTCAATGAAATTCAAGCTCCACTTGTGACTCTCAAACACATATAATATGGCACTGTTTCAGCTGCAGATAGAAGAAAATACTGGTATCATTTTGCCTCAGTAATTCTGCTTTGGCCATATATTCTGTGTTTTGGTAGGTTTGTATAAGGTAGCTACCGCACTCCATTTGGGAGGTAAATGCCCAGGTGCTCGTCAAAGAAGAAATATCCATACAAATTAAAAGTAGGTGTAGGAGTACTCACGGGTCTTGCAGTGGAGATCATTAAACACAACAGCATTTTATTGTCAATAACATGCTTTAATATATGCGAGTACCTGTATACCTACCTTGGATTTAGTTGCTTCAGTTTAATCTGGTCTAGGTTCAGCAACTTTATGTGCCCAAAAAATAAGGTGACCTGCCTACCTGAATAATACCATCAATTACATTGGGCTCAAATTGTGAAAGTGTGGTTCAGGGAGCATGAGACATAATTTTCTCACATGGAAAAGCCTGGCAAATCCTGGCATTGTTATCTTGGCATATGCCCATGCTATCAGGGAAGAAAGAATACATTGATGGAAAAACCTGGTCATTCAGTAAGTTCACGTAGGCAGCTGACCTCATTTTTTGGGCACATAACATTACTGAAAATAGACCTGACCAACTGAAGCAACCTCAGATCATAACACTGCACTAATTCCAGGTGGTGACTTTTTTTGCAAGGCAGTTTGTATATGCAATATACACTGAAGGAAATTTATCATAACTGGAGCAGACAAAATGTGGAGCAGCTGTGCATGGCAACCAATCAGCTTCTCTTTTTCATGTTCAAACCTTAACTGAACAAACTAACAAGAGAAGCTGATTGGTTACCATGCACAGCTACTCCACATTTTGTCTGCTCCAGTTATGATAAATTACCCGCACTGTATGTATTAGGGATGCACCGATCAGGGGCGTATTTACCGCGAGGCAAAGTAGGCGTTTGCCTAGGGCGGCACCTTCCTGGGGGGCGGCCGTAGTCAAACGCCTATGTTGTGAAGAGGAGGGGAGAGCTGGAGCCCGTCTGTGTGTAGGAGTGGAGGGCGGCTTGCCTGCTTGTGAAGAGGGTGGGAGGACGGATGGAGCCGGACAGCGCAGCCGACGGATGGGATCGTGACTCAGAAAACGAAAAGCAGCCGGCGGCCACTAACTCGATCTCACTGCTTCCTGGGTCACAGAGCCGCTGTGACCCAGGAAGCAGTGAGATCGATTAAGTCTGGCACCGATATATCGGCCGAAAATTGCACTTTTGGCTAAATGCCGAAAGTGCCATTTTCATGCCGATACATCGGCGCATCCCTGCTTTCTTTCCTCCCCGCTGGGCGCTGCTCTGTGTCCCAGCGGGGAGGAGAGAAAGTGTCACAGGCTGCCAAGCGCTGCGGGATTAGAGCGCTGTGAGTGGCCAGCGTCTCTCCTCCCACACCGCTCAGCCTCCTGTCACAGTCCGGCAGAGCGGTGTGGGGGCGGAGACAGCACGGTCACAGGAAGCTGAGCTCTCCTCCCTGCTCCGCTCGCTCAGCCTCCTGTGACAGCTGTCAGAAAGCAGAGCGAGTGCAAACACTCAGTGATTAGTGATTGCCGAGTGTTTGTAGATAATTGAGGACATGGTATGGTTACTATATCCTCAATTATGAATGAATGGGAAGCGATCTACATCACCTCCTGTTCATTCATAGTTGTAGTTATAGTAAACATACTCTGTCCTCATGTTATCAATGAACAGGAACACTCCTGTTCATTGATAACAGGGGATAGAGAAAAGGAGATTGAGAACACAAAGTCCTCTATCTCTTTTTCTATTTTAAAAATGGAAATATCAGACCCCTAATATTTCCCCAAAGCCCCTAAAAGTAAAGTAAAAAATAAAAATAAGCGGAGGTTTAGGAACTAACACATATGTCTGTCTGCATCAGTCTCCGTTCAGGAAAGTATCCATATTATACTAATGGGCCAGAGCTGGAAAATATGTGTTACAGGAGCTCCATGGTAATACATCCATCATCAGAGCTGCTCTACTTCAACAGTTACTGTAATGAAAATTGCAGTTTTGTTTTCTCACATTTTCATGTGCTGGCAACCGGTTTTCAACAAAAGATGGAATCTACAGAATGACAATGGACAATATTTCTGTAACACTAGGTGTACCAGGTGATTTGGAGATGTATGGTGGGAAGGCAAAGCAACATGATGACCGCTTGTACTGATCAACAGGGTGCTTCACAAATGCTGCTAAAGAGTACCCAGTATCTGGCAGTTACCTCTTACTGATCTGAATGATCATTCTGGTGACTTTACTGAAGGGCAACGGAAAAGCAGCTCAATCCAGACTTCTCAGCACTCAATAGTTGCATGGCCATTAATTTCTATCGTGTGTAAATGAGTGCTTCCGAGTGTTGCAGAAAGACAGTCCAGATAGTTTTCATGTATTTACTAGTCTTCTGGAAATATCATTTGACATAGCAATAATCCGATCAGTTTTCAGCTAAATGGTGCGGTCCCGTTACACAAACTTGTACTGTGTTGTGCAGTCAACTGAATTTGTCTAGCTTGAGACAATTACTCAGTGATCTAAACAATTTGCAAACAAAAGGCATGTAGTGAATGTAACGCTTCAGCAACGGAATAGTAATCAACAGCCTATAGTGCCCTTCCACCCCACTTGATCATTGCATCTGCCTGAATAAGAGAGCCTGTCTATGCTGGCTCGATCCCATCATATCTACCTGGGGGATCATGCAACCACCTAGGGCACACAGTCCACTAAAAGGACCAGTACTGCCCATTTACAAGATAGGCAGTGCCAATTAATTCTTTACCAGCCAAATTGCCTATCAACCAGGGATGCCACAAATTTTACTCTGAAAACTAGAGGAGAAGGGGTACCTGTCCTAAATAGGCTGTATGGTTGGATCGGTGAGTAACTTTGTCTCTAAAGAATTTCAGTGGTGTAGTTGCTCAAAACCCACAGCCTTAAGAGCCCCTACAGCAGTGGTTCTCAACCTTTCTAGGGCTGGGACCCCTTGGTAATATTTGCCAAGTTGTGGTGACCCCCAAAGGTAAAATTTAGGGATGACGCGGCTGCTGCAGCGACATCTGGAGGCGTGGCGGGAGAACTGACACTGCTGCGCTAGGAGAGAGCTGAGGAGGACTCTCACCTTGCACAGTGACCCACAGGTTGAGAACCACTGCCCTACAGCCTCAAGAGGTTAGAATTAATTGCAAGTTACTCTATTGCTATCCTTGAAACAATGTTTTTCAGTAAAAGGCAAAGCACCCTCACAAACAACCAGTACAATCAGTAGTCTGGATCCTTCTGAGTCACTTACAACTGCAAGGATGATCTAAAGCCGTCAGATATATTACTTAAAATGGCACTCAAGAATGCAACATTAACAGCAATTGTTTTGGCAAGGCCTTTTAAAAGCTTAAAATGATTTGAATACTGCTACTACTGCTCATCTAGTCGGTTTGGCATAATCTCTGATCGCCGATTCTTTTCCCACCCCACTCGGTTCCTCCATCAAAGTCAGGGATCCAAACCCTGCATAAGCTCCATTTGCTTACAGGGTTTGCTTCTACCAACTCCTCCTCAAGTTACAGTGTTCAATCCTGGCAATTGTTTGCTCAGGCCAGAGGAATGAAATTATGGATGAAGTCACATGTTCCTCCAAACCCAGAAGGACCAGGTATTTACCACAGGCTCCAACAAAGCAATGTAGTGGTGGGGGAGCGCAGGAAAGGCAGGAATCAGTAGGTGAGGGGTTGTTGTTACAAGAGACCCTGTCACTTTGTCCTCATTAGGCAAAGTGACAGATTCTGTTTAGGGCTGCAGAATCCAGTAATTTGCTTATCTGATATTCAACCTATTCTATTGCTGCGTGATGAGTGGGGAAGGCTGTAGCGGGCTCACACAGAGGGTGGTACTAAAAAACGCGGAATACTTAGTCTGCATTTGGCATGCTCTGCCTAGGGGACTTTCAGCAGATGAAGACAATAGTAATAATAAACTGTATGTGTTCATACAAACAACTATACACAGTATATAGCTAGAAGGCACCCAGACTGAGAAGATAAAAAGGAGGAAAATCTAAATCATGTAATAGGAAGGCCGAGTTTCCTGAATCCGTTTAAACGCAGTGTTTAATTTTGAATGAAGTGTAATTGATTTTCAGCACCGTACATAAACATTTTACCAGATTTATATGCGTATAATGTATTTTAAAGTCTTACACTATGGAGATTGTATATTCACCCTTTTAAAAGAATACAAAGTAAGAATTAGGTATATTTCTATCTTGTGCTGTTTAAACACTCAGTTACAGTAAGACTGGCTCATGTTGTGTTGCTGGAAATGATAATTCCCATGGGCAAGTATTAACACCTCTTTAAAAACCAGACACAACTCACTGGCCAGACTTTTAAATCAGGGGCTGGAAGGAAGCAATCTCACCACCCAGGAAAAGATGTCTGTGCATTGAAGGGGTGCTATTACAGTTTAATGACATATATTGTATGCTTGCAAAACGATTCCTGCCTTGTTAATGGGAAAAAAAATGCTGCAAAAGCATTTTGAGTTCAATTCTCAAAAAATGCTACAACTCTTTCGGTTAAAAAAAAACTACTGTTTATTGAGTTTTCAAGTCTCTACAGCCAGGAAAATGTGGAAAAACGTAGAAATACAGCATATGTGTGTGGCCATTTTTCTTGACCTCGGCTAATCATAGCTAAATAGGACTGAAATGGAAAAACAAGATTGCTCCCATAATGCACTAGGTGCTTGCTAGATGTCTACAAATTACCTGCTCTAATACAATCACCTTGCCTATGGAGAACAAAGTGACAGTGTCTC